AATGTTCCTGAATGTTTCATGTGCTCTGGGAACTGTTCCTATGGTCTGTTAATCTAGGAATCACAGCAATATCTTGAAATTTCAGCTATTAGGGTTTCTTGTTTAAAATGCACAACAAGAACTTTTATGTTCATCACTTCCCTTTCAGCTTTTTATGAGTTTTCATTTGCAAGTTGAAATTATAACCTAATGTCTTTAGTACCACTCTTTTAAATAAAGTTAGATTAATCACAAATACTTCAGAAGGACAGAAATTCAAAAACTGGAAATAGTCAACTAGTGGTTTGCATTTTTCTGGAAAGCTGGGGCTGGGAAATTCACAAATCTGTCCACTGTGGACATTCATGTTGACAAAGTGCCAATAGATGGTGTGTTATGCACTTAGGAGACATGGTAGTGAGCATCACAAAAATGAGTAGGCAGATATAGATCCCTGACACACCAATTCACAAAAGCCAGCATACTAGGAGGAGAGCCAGAATGACTTTAAGGTTAAGGCACCTATCAAGGAGGTAGAGGGCACATCTAGACTACGTTTTACTTTCAAAAGATGATATGCAAATTCCACTGACTTTGCGTATCTTCTTCCGATTGCTTTTTCAAAAGTTTTTTCCGAAAAAGCAAGCAGTCTGAAGGAGATATAGAAATTCCTGCCGAATTTGCATATCTTCTTTCAAAAGTAAAATGTAGTCTAGACGTGCCCTCAGGATTCAGTAGCCCTTGTGATGCTGACATACCTGGTGCCAGCCACTCTTGCCAAAACTTTAAGCTGCAGCTGAGCACTGAAAGATTCATTGTTGGAAACCAGCCCATGTCACATATGTGTTAGTATGGTTAAGATGGGTATTGGATCTATAATAACGTGTTTAGGACTTAGATTTAATGAAATGCTTGTAAGTTGCTACATGCATTAATTTCACTTAAAATTTCTTTATCACATGCTATAAGGTAAATAATATTTAAGTTTTTGCTTTGGAACATAAAAAAATGTTTACTCTGAAACCTGCCCACCAACACGGCCTATCAAAACTAAATGGGCCACTAGAGGACATTACAATGCAAAGACTTTGTTAATTGCCTCTTTACCAACAGGAAGAGGTTACCTGGGGGAAGGAGGAAAGGACTCATGAGGAGCTTGAATTCTGGAAGATGGAAATGAAAATGTGTGTCAGTTACGGTATTTTTCTCTCTCTTTTTGCTCTCTCACAAGGCCTGATCCTCAGCATCAACCTTCTCAAGGTATAAAAGATTCAGAGCAGACAGATTATTGCAACTGTAACCTGAATATTATTGTGGGGTTTTTTTGGGTGTAAAATGCCCATCTATCATTAAGTCCATCTTGACTGGGATAGACTGGAATGCCCAAAGGAATTATCAGTGACTCCATGGTAAGACTGTAACTATGCTGAACAAGTTCACACTTTCTGCTGGCTTGGTGAAATCTCGACAGTGCCCGGAGCGTGGCACTCACAAGCATGAGCCACTCAAGAAAATGTGAAACCCCCCTTATTCCACTGATTAATTATCCATAGTGGAACAGCTTTCACGGGAAGGTTGGAGGGAGCCCTGCATCAAATTATTCCAAAGAGATCATTGGTTAGAGCATGTTCCTAAAAGGTGGAAAGGAGGCCTGTTCAAATAATTTTTCTTACCTCTTACTTGAACCTGTGATTCCTAGGCTACGTCTACACTACAAGGTTTTTGCGCAAAAACAGCTGCTTTTGCGCAAAAACCTGTGGAGCATCCACACCTCAAATGCGCTTTTGTGCAAGGAAATCAGCAGTAAAAAGGCAGAACAGAGGGCTTTTGCCGGTGTAGATAAACTTCCTTCTATGAGGCATAACTGCCTTTTGCGCTACAGCTATTGTGCAAAAAAGCAAGTGGACGCTCCAGAGGGATTTTTTTGTGCAAGAAACACTTATGGGAAAAAGCACAGGTGCTCTGATGGAGCTTTCTTGTGCAAGAGCATCCATGCGGTGTGGATGCTTTCTTGCACAAAAGCTCATCACTTTTATGATGCGCTTTGAGATGTGGATGTGCTCTTGAGCAGTGTAGACGTAGCCCTACATCCCAAGTGAGTGCTCTAACTACTCGGCTAAGTTTAAAGTTAGCATAGCACAGAGCATGCACCATGACCAACTAATTTCGAATGAGACCCAATCCACTAAGATGTCTCACAGCATGCCCATTGGACTGAGCTCCATATGTAAGAGAGGCAAACAAAGACCCCCATTCATGAATCA